ATGACCTTGTATCTCGAGAACTATTGACATTTTTGAAGATATAAGCTCATCCTGATGTTACACTCATCGAGACCTTTTATTTGAGTACCCACATCAATTTTTCATATATTTTATATATTTATATATATTATATATACGTATATATGAAAAATATATCAAAAATGCATGTGGGTACTTAAATGAAAGCTCTTGATGAGTGTAACGTCGGGATGAGCTTATATCTTTAAAAACTTCAATATTCAAGAAAGTACAGTGCAATTTAACTAAAGTCATTACTTAATACACCAAAATTGTATTTATTTACGGTACACAACTCACGGCAGTCACACAGTGACTGCAAAGTTGTTACTTATTAAATTATAATTTTAATAATAATTCAAGTTAATAAAAAATTCACTATTATTATTTTTTTTTTTAATTAATAAACTAATTAAAATTTTTTTTTCTCAAGGAAACTCTATCAAGATGGCACACAGTATTTTGGTTAGCTGCAGGAATAAACTTATCTGGAAATTTCGTCTATTTAATATTCGCCTCAGCTAAAGAACAATCATGGAGCCGTGGTACCAGCAGTTGATGATCTTGTTTAATTAGAAACATTAATTTACTACGCCGATCATCAAGTTCAGGGACTGTTGATCGCGTAGCTCTCAGTGCTTTTTAGTAAAACTTTGTAAGTTGGTTTTACGTGTGCTCGTTTTTATATTTATTTTTACAAATCATTCCAAAATTAATTTTCAATTTATTATTACTAATTAATTAAAATTTTATTTCGCTGGAATCTCTGACGTTTTGTTTGCACTCGGCAATACAAATATTTAGACACCTGATCAATAAATAAATAAATAAAATAAAATTTATAGAAAAATATTTTTTCATACGGTGCTTAGCGTTAAAATTTTAATAACGCGCAATTTTAAATTTTAATTAAAACATTTTTTTTTTTTTAAATATTGGTATTTTTTTTTTTAAACCAAAGAAGTTCAGTAGCATTTATATTAAAAAATAAAAAATTAAAATATATTTAATTTTAAAGTCGTACAAATTAAAAAAAAATTTGACAAAAAAAACAATTTATTTAATAATTTTATTTTTTTTTATTAAATCGCACATTAATAAAAACTAAGAAAAAAAAATTCTATATCAATATCTATGCAAAAATATTTCCTGTTATGTAAAAAAAAAATAATTGAATAGAAATTTATGATTATATATGACGTATTTAATTACTTAAAATTACTTTCAAAGAATTTAGTGAATTAAAAAAAAATAATAAAATAATTATAATGACTATAATATTGACAGGAAACATTTTAGCTAGAAATAAAACGAGAGCGCAAATAAAAACTCAGGACGTTATTTAAGAGGTATTTTATAGAGGATATGTAGATTTAAATGTTAGAGGCGTTTGAACTGTGAAAAAAAAAATGTTTGCGCTGGAACTAGATTTAATTTGTTGGAGCAATCGATTGTTCGCTTCACTGAATATTTTAGCGAAAGTATAAACTTTGAATGGTCAGCAAAAAAAATCTAGTCGGCAGAAACATTCCAGTGATTTATTATTTTAAATAACGGACTGTACAGGCCTTATGTGGTAACAATAATCCGAGGCATAGTTGACTCTTTATATTAAATGTTAAATATAACATGTTAGAAAAATTAAGAAGAAATTCAAATTCAGATTTATTAAAATAAAAAAAAAAATAAATATAAAGTAAGGTAAAAGCCCCAATTATTAACAGTAAGAGACAAAGTTATGATTTGATTTTTTTTAAGCAATCAAATATCAATATCGTTGAATTTTGTTTGTGGTAATGTCTCAAGTAATGTTTTTACTAATCAAATTTTTTAAAATGATAATACACCAATGATGATACACCAATTATTGGCAGGTTAAAAAACTGATTGATCTAATTATTGACATACCTTCACCGCAATTATTGACACCTATACTAAGCATGCCTACAATCATCTGCTTAGTCTTATTTATCCGAACTTATTATTAAGTAATCAATTTTATTAAAGTTTATTAATAATAATTTTCATAAATGATTAATTACTTTTAAAATAATTTATTTAATCAGAAGAGTTCAAACTCTTACAGTAAATTTTTTAGATTAAAGTAAAAAAAAGGCGTGATAGCGCTGTCGATTGGCTGTCAATATGAGATTCAACTTAAAAATTATCAACTAGTTATTGACACCCATTATTTAAATATTATAAAGCATACAATTAATTTTGATTATTCAATTTTATAAATTTTTCATATATTGTTAATTAAAAAAAAAAAGATCATATAATGAGATGAAGAAATTAATTAAAACTCGGCATTTAAAAAAATGCTTTTCTAACCAAAGTTGTTAAGAAAATAGACGCTCGTAAGGTTTGATCTGGTGCTTTTATTTTTTTTTAATAATTAATATTTAATATTTTGAACTGAGTAATTTTTTTCAATTTTTTAATTAATTAGAATTTAATAAAAATTTATATGATAGTTATTCTTATTACAGATGATTAAATATATTTAAAAACTATTTAGGGTGTCAATATTTAGACCCCTGTCAATAATTGGGGCTTTTACCTTACAGAGTATTAAGGTCAGTTTGAGGGTTAATCTTTTTAGATCACAGACTATTGGATTTAAAAAAAAAATAGTTATTTTATTACCACGAAAAAAAATTGTATTGGGTCTCGTACCTTAAAATGAAAATGAAACAAAAACACAATAAGGTAAGTTTAAGGTTTAAGTACCTCTGCGAGCGAGGTTGTGCCAACTATAGCTGATTTATCTCGTATCGGATCATTTAGTTGAGGAGGAGACGTAAGTAGACGATAGTAGTTGACAACAGCGGTAGATAGCTCATATGGATAGTAGTAGTAGTAGTAGTAGTAGTAGTAGTAGAAGTAATTGTGTATGTACACATATACGCGGCGCACGTAGTTGCTGGCTTGGTGGCTCACTTGCTCTAACTTGAAACGGGCAGTAAACCAAGTAAGACGACAGTAAATCGTGATGTTTTATATTAACAGTTAAGTAATATTTAATATTCATATTAATCATATCTATTATCAGGGCACTATCAATAATTAATTTTTTTAATGGAATTTTGTCCCGACTTGCATTCTAATTTCACTCAAGCTTTTATTTGTTATTTTTAATTGTTGTTGCTGTTGTTTAATCTTTAATGTAAGACTTGGAGCGGACAGGACGAAGGTAGAGGATTATTCTTCTCAGATCAACTTTATCAATTTATCTTCTACTTATTTCTCTCTCGCTCTTTCTCTCTATCTTGTAAATTCAATCAACTACAACATTAATGCCAGTGGTTAAAAGTTATTGATTAGTCGTGATAATTACCTTGCGAAATTTTTGAATGCCGCGGACTGCGGGTTTATGCACAGAGGTACACGCGGTGTATCCAATCGCTCAGCGATAAATCGGTACATCTCCTCTGTAAAATAAATTTTTATTAGTTTTTGTGATTAGAGATATATTTGAGGGATTAAAAAGTTAATTTTTGTTAAATTGCACTGTAATTTTTTAACCATTGATGTTTTTAAAGATATAAGCTCATCCCGATGTTACACTTATCAAGAGCTTTCATTTGAGTACCCACATGGATTTTTATATATTTTTCATATATACACATATATTAAATATATAAATATGTTAAATTACACTGTACTTTCTTAATTATTGACATTTTTAAAGATATAAGCTCATCCTGATGTGACACTCATCAAGAACTTTCATTTGAGTACCCACTTGCATTTTTAATATATTTTTCATATATTTATATATATAATATATATAAATATATGAAATATATGAAAAATTGATGTGGGTACTCAAATGAAAAGTTTCGATGAGTGTGATATTGGATTGAGCTTATATCTTTAAAGATATCAGTAGTTGACAAGATACAGGGTCATTTCTTAATTATTGACATTTTTTATGATATAAGCTCATCCCGATGTTACACTTGTCAAGAGCTTTCATTTGAGTACCCACTTGCATTTTTAATATATTTTTCATATATTTATATATATAATATATATAAATATATGAAATATATGAAAAATTGATGTGGGTACTCAAATGAAAGGTCTCGATGAGTGTAATGTCGATGTGAACTTATATCTTTAAAAATGTCAATAGTTGACAGGATACAATGTCATTTCTTAGTTATTGACATTTTTTAAGATATAATTTCATTTCGATGTTACACTCATCGAGACCTTTCATTTAAATACCCACATGACATTTTTTATATATTTAATATATATAGTATTTGTGAAATATATAAATATATAAAATATATGAAAAATTGATGTGGGTACTCAAAGGAAAGGTCTCGATAAGTGTAATGTCGGGGTGAGCTTATATCATTAAAAATGTTAATAGTTCATTTTATAACATAAATATACTGGCCATAAAATTTTGCTTATTTTTTTAATAATATAGATTAATTTTTTAAATCTTTCGAATTTCTGAATTGATTTTTTGATCTCAAATTTTGGATAAAATAATAAATTAAATTTTCTAAAAATTAAGTTTCTTATAATTTTATCATATCTCTAAAATTTAATTAAAAATTTTAAAATCAAGTATTTTTTTTTGTCTAAAAAAAAATTATTGTTCAACTTTTGACCCCAAATTTTGGTTTAAATAAGAGAGATAGAAAAATTTTACTAGAATTAAATTTTCTACCAAAAAGATCTCTTATAATTTTTTTGTATCTTTAAAATATAATCTACAATTTTGTAATGATTAAAAAACTAAATGATAAAATTTTTGAACAAAAATTTCCAATATCAAAAATTGAATTTTTTTTTTTTATTATATTCTACAAAAAAAAATTTAATTTTTAACCAGTTAAAAATTAAAATATGTACTTAAATAAAAATAAAAATTTTTTTTCTGATCTAACTACAGCTAAAATTAATAATCAATAGATAAAAATATTACAGGAAGCAGATTGAAATTTAAATATTCAAATCAAATGTGAGAGAAAAAATCAAACGGAAGTAAAACAAACCTTTGACCTGCTGGACACTAGTAAGCTTACGCTCCCACAGGTCGTCAAAAGGATAAGCCGTCGAAGGCTCGAAATCCGGCGTGTACTGTCTCAGGCCTGAGTTGGTGTCATAACAGCACGTGCACATGCACGAGTGGTATCTCAAGCGGCCATCCTCGAGATAAGGATGCGCCAGGGCGTTAACGACGGTGATTCTCTTGTCCTACAAGAATGATAAATAAATAAATAAATTAAAAAATTAAGTAAAATAATAAACCAATGTAGTTTTTAAAAGTGTATATCTGCAGGACTTACGGGGTCGAAGACGAGCATCTGACAGAGTAAATGAACGGCTTCGTGAGTGGCATGACTGCCCAGAGTATACAGCGCCGTCAAGGAAGGACGTTTTGGTGGGCATCTCAACATGTGCATCCTAGCGCCCTCGCAGGCATATCGCATGTCTTCTATCTTCGGCGTGCCCAACAGTTCCGTTATCATGTCAAGCTAAAAGTAATCAATAAATTAGTCGTGGGTATTATTTTTTTTTTAATTTTTAATTGTCATAGCTCTAGATCTCTTTCTACTTTTTTTTTATTATTTAAAAAATTCAAGTATCAATTTAAATAATTATTATTTATTATTATGATTAATTATTTATTTAAAATATTATTATTAATCAATTAAAGTGAAGCTTATGATTTCTTCTATTAAAAAATAAATATCTAAGAAATAAATAAAATTTTGCTTTATTAAATAATGACTTTTGTTAAATTGCATTGTAATTTTTTAACTATTGACGTTTTTGAAGATATAAGCTCATCCTGATGTTCCACTCATCAAGAGCTTTCATTAGAGTACGCACATGCATTTTCATATATTTTCATATATTTTTATTTATATATATATATATATATATATATATATATATATATATAGATATATATATATATA